ATATATATATATATATATATATATATATATATATATATATATATATATATATATATATATATATATATATTTTGTCAATTAGGATGGAATTAATTGATCTAGAATAATTGAAACTATTTATTAAAAAAAAAAAAAAAAGACTATTTCATACCAATAGCTCCATTTCTCCCAAACCAAAGTCCATTCCAATCTCATACCCTAAATACCTCAAATAATTTAATTATAATTTTAATTTTATTGGAAGGTTCTAATATCTAGAGAATGGTACCATAGAGATCAAACTTGTCCCACCATCTCTGGCTATGCAAATTTACAAGATCTTCTCGATCTTACAACAACAACATTACTTTACAGTCTGCATTTAATGATATAAACTACAAGAATTGGAAGCTTTAACTTACACGTTCTGGCCACCATAGCCGTACCTTAATACCGCACTACCTTGCTTTCCCTGCAGCAAGCTTTGCCATTTCCGCACTCTATGCAACAATGGGGTATGAAGCACAAGTTGCAATACCTGAAACCCCAACCATCTTTATCAGTAGGAAGCCATGAAGAACACTTACGATGATAGTTTTATACTTGTTGAGCTTAAGGAGAGAGGGTTGAATATGTTTTGAATAGGTAACAACTCAAGCACACCGCTAGCGGATATTGTTCTATTTGGACTGTTACCGATGATATTAGAGTCAGTCACCAAACGGTGTGAGGCACTAGTTGGAATAGGGCTAGACTCTCTCCATGGTAAACACGTTTTAAAACCATGAAGCTAACAGCTAATACATAACGGGCTAAAATATGCAATATCTGTTAGTAGGGGTCTTGGGCTCTTACAGAATCTAAATCTATATGTGAGCTTTCCAATTGAACAAATTTTGTACTCAGTAGTGTATGAAGAAAACTTACCACACATGTTCTTGCCCAGCTCCATCTTGAAGTAGCCATGTTCACCCCATTTGTCTCCCCAGGAGTTCTTTATAAGCCAGTATGGGACACCATCTTCGACCCCATAACCGACCGCAAGCACGGCGTGGTTTACATCCTGCCAGTAAAACCAGAAGCTATCAGACATTATCTTATCATGTTACCATGCCACTGCAGGCTGAAGATGATGAACATTCATATCAGACATTTTTACAGAGCCAACAAATTAATTCATGTCAACCTGAGGAGTATTGCCGCATAATTCACTGGTGTAAACTCCCTTTGTATACAAGCGAAAATCGCGAGCCACCTCAAACGCTACGCTTACTGGTCGAACAAGACCAACTGCTTCCTTCAATTCATCTTCAGCGCCCTGCATATATCACCCCAACAATTAGAAAATGATCATGAAACGGATTTGGATGCTTCATTACAGCCGGGGGTTAAAGGAATTGGTCCTTGGCTCTTACTTGAGTGATGTTCACAGAATCAATGACTTGTACTGCAGCATTCCCGGCTACGAATTCGCATTTGCCGTCTTTTCCAGTGTAAGGATATGCTTCTTCGGTCTCAAGGCCACCATTGTACTTGATGTACTCAAAAGCTTGGGAAGGCAGTCCACCATTGCAGCCAAAGTTGTTAAAAGCACCTGCACAATCCACCAGCTGCTGCTCGGACAGGGAGATTCCCTTCCCAAATGCTTGTGCATAGGCCGCTTCTAGTGCTCCAGTAGTACTGCAAAAGCAAGAAAAAAATATTGTATGCATAATTACTGAGTAGCATTGAGCAATCTTATTCCTAGAAGATAAAGCTAACCTGAATGTCCAGCAAGAACCACATTGGCCTTGATCTTTAACAGGGCTGACTATGCCATTTTTTCTCCAGTCTTTCTGCATAAAGGGCGTATACAGGTTGTTAACAAAGTCTTGACATCACAAATTTGTTTGAATGAACATCACAGTTTCATCTGATCAATTGTATGACGTGAAATTAGAGTGTTCCATAGTATCTCATAATTCGACAAAAGGGGGCCTTGGAAGAGAACTTGATAAAGCGCTTACTTCTCATCAGGGATACCCTTTCATCAAGTAAACCCATCTTTTTCATTAATTGTAAGAGATTTTTTCAGAACCAAATTGTTGGTAGAAGTAGAACCAAGAATAAAAATTGTCTTAGATTCAAAAAGAATGGGAAATTTGCATATATAATAAACTGGTATTTAAAGTTTTCCCCTTCTTTTGTGCCCTCAGATGAAGAGAATAACATTATATGATACAGGACTTCTTGCTCTTCATCATGTTAAATCCCAAAAAAAAAAAAAGACCACAAAAGCTCAAAGATTCTGGTAAATTTAATTATATTGATCTTTTAACACGGTATAGATCAGTCAGACTAATGTTCAAACCTTTGGGTCAGAATTCTACTACTGTTAAAACTTTGGATTCAAGTTGTCGAGAGTATATGCAAGGATGTACCGATTCAGGAAGAACAACATCAGTAAGTTTGTGGCTGCCCTTTGTGGTAGCAGAGCACTCTTGAGGAGCTCCTAGCCTGTATTTCTTGAACTCCTCCCACGTCCAATCCGCAAATTCTGCAACAATTGGGAATACAAGCATTCAGCATCATTTTTTTTTTTTTTTTCGCCTTCCTAAACTAGTTATGCAAATCGAGATTCTTCTCGATGGCTCGATCAATCAGTAGAATCAGATACTCATCCAAATCAAAAAATTGCAAAAAATCAACTAATTTTTCACAGAACAAATAGAAAAGTTCTCATAAGCGTACAAATCAAGCGAACTACTTAAAATAAGAAGTCAATCATATGACTTACGATTAACACCAAGCTTGTAAGAAAGGCCTTTTCTATTAGTCGATTTTATCAGTTCCAAACTCTCCAAGAAAACTCTGAATCGGAGTTTCATCTCCTCCGCCGTCTCGTAGCTCTTCCCATACCTGAAACAATCCACTACTAGCCCCTCAGTACAAAAAAAATCCACCAAAACAACCAGATAGCGAGAGTAAAGAAAGCGAAACGATAATCAACCAATCACGGATACAATCGAACGAACCTGTGAGCGAATCGAGCGAATCGGAGAGCGTGAGGAGCTTGGCCGATGACTCGAACGACCTCCAACTCCAACTCACGAAGACGGTCAGAGACCATCTGAATTGGATTCGAATCATCGAAGACGGATCCGGAAACTGCACAGGAGAGCAGTAGAAGAACAGAGGAAACGGAGAACAGACGTGAAGCCATCGCTGTTGCAGATTCTTGCTCTCACTCTTCTTCTCTCCAGAGAGTGGGGAAAGAAGATCAAACCCAATCAGATATTTATACCGTGGAAATGTGATTGGAAATCTCAAAGCTTTTCATATATATATTTTATTATTATTATTACATTCCAATTTTTTTAAAATTAAATAAATAAAATTCAGAGCATAATTCATGTTTTATTTTTAATATTTAAATTATTTCAATATAGATTTTAAAAAATTATTTTTTAAATAATCAAAATTTATTTTTAAAAGTAATTAGAGAATAAATAATAAAAAATGATTATGAAATTAAATAAAAATAAAATAAATTGAAAAAAAATCTATATTTTAGAATTGAAAATAAATTGAGTTCTACCTTAATTTAATTTTTTTTTAAATCCAATTGAGATTTTTTAACCTTTTTAGATATAAGAAATAAAGATTTAATTGAAAATTTTAAAACTATAATAATTAAATTAGAAATAAATATAACTATAAATACTACAAAATTGAAACTAATTCTAAGGGGAATAAAATACGATTGGGACAAGCAAGGTCTATATGGAATAAATTTGAAAATTATTTAATTATTATTTTTAGTTAAAAAAAACTAATTAAAGACATAAATAATTGAGAAGGGGTAAATGAGTCAAAGGCGTGAGCTACTGGTGAAGAATCTACCCAATAATGTCATGCCACGTGTTAGATCGTTGGTTGGTCCCCACGAGTCTGTTTCAAGCTGGCGAGCTTGATGACGTGGACGAATTGTTTTCATGTTGTGTGTGGACTTATTTTACGATATTCTCCTTCCGATTTTTGGGATTTTTGACTATAAATAAACGCAGCGTGAACGTTATGTCTATTTCTTTTTTGGAATAAAGATTTTTTGTGTGAAAATATCTAGGGTTTGCATTTTCTTTTTTTTATTTAATTATTTTTATTAAAAAAAAAAACCAACTAATTTATTTATAATATCTAACTCGAGAGTTCGATTAAACTTGATTGTTCATTAGTTTGGGTTGAGTTGAATTTTTTAAAAATTAAAAATTTAAAATCCTGTCTGGTTCGTGGGTTAATATTTCTTTTGGTTGAATCAACCTAACCCACCTGAAAACTCGCTCATTCAGGAACGAAAAATGTGATTACTCTATCTACTGAGTTTGCTGGTCAGGTGAGTGAATGAGCTTCCCCCCCCCCCCCCCCCCCCCCCCCCCCCCCCCCCCCCCCCCCCCCCCCCCCCCCCCCCCCCCCCCCCCCCCCCCCCCCCCCCCCCCCCCCCCCCCCCCCCCCCCCCCCCCCCCCCCCCCCCCCCCCCCCCCCCCCCCCCCCCCCC